TATAGTTGCTGCTTTTTCCCATGAAATAGTACAGTATTCTTTGAAGAATCTATCGGGGATGAATAACAGACATATCTGTTGCAGGCGTGATTAAAGATCCCAATCCGTCATTATTCAACCCTACTCCATGATCCATCCCTGATAAAATGTTAGCTCACGAATGCAACTAGCTAAGCAGTCTAATACAATTCCTAAATCTGTGTACCCTAGAATTACGTAAAGAATGCAAAAAAATATTAAATGCCAGAAGTCGTAGAATCTTTCAATTAGTGAGAACGTTCACCGACACAGAATGTGGAATTAAGTGTACACTATGTTCGACAGGGCGGCTCAAAACACCGACAACTAGTCACATCGCCTCGCCACGAGCAAGCTAACAAGTTAAACCGCAGCTGGCACATGCCGTCAGTGGAACGCACAGTTCGGTTGACCCGGATATCGCGTGCGAAGTCGCGCAGACGTTAAGCTGCCTTTATACGCGCATGTGTGTTTACGCGACTCTTTCCGTAAGTCGTTGAAAAATAAAATCGACGGATGCCGTACAGTTTTTGCGCGGAAATTTATCCTTACTTTCTCCTCAAGTTTGCTCGCGTGGGACGTGGGGTGATACGTCACCACACGCGTCCTTATAGATTGGGACAGAAGACCTCATTATTCGCTCCGGATTAGATTTCGTTTGGACTTGCCAAGTGTAATCGTAAACAGCTTCTAGTCTCGATAAAACACAGATGCTTCGTGCGACCGGCCTGAAGGACGGTTTACGGCCGTCGCGTATATAACCAGCTTATATTCGCTCCTCGTAGATTCACGCTAACTGAAGACAGTCAGTCCGAGAAGCGCCAATACACACGTTAATGGAGAACGAGAATAGCTCATAGAAGGGGCTGTTTACTAGAACGCTCCGAGGAGAAGATTCCCCTAGCTGACTTATAGTGGATCTGTGGAGGCCGTGGACACCCGCGGGCGAGTTATACACCGATATATCGCGTGCGAACTCACCGATAGGGTCTGAGCGAAGGCGCAGGTAGACACACACAGACGCGCGCGCGCACACACACGTACGCACGCGTGAACGAACGAACGCACGCACGCACACATACACGCATGAACGAACGAACGCACGCACGCACACATACACGCATGAACGAACGAACGCACGCACACATACACGCACACATATACATAGACACTGTCGCTCTCTATCTCGCCCCCCCCCACACACACATACACACACACACAAACAAACATACACACAGGGATAGAGAGTGGGGCTATGTGCGAGGCGTGCGCGCGCCCGTGTGTGCTTTATTTTTTATGCTGTCTAAACACAGAAAATTCTATGTATGACACATCGATATCATTGAAAAGTAATATAACCCAACTTTAATGGTAAGAGAAACAATACAAGGGATGTACCACCGACAATGCTCGCTGCCAAAAATTGTAAACTTAGGTCGAGCAAACCGATTAGGAATGTTATTCGGGCAGTCGCGATGGCATTCGGTGGCAATACTCGTGTGTGTATGAACGAAGTGTAGTCTACACATATTGCCTGGGAAACTGTTGCGCTTGATTGCCAACAATAGAGAACAACTATAATCAACACTTTGAAGCCCAAAGGAGGTAAGATGAAATGGAGAATCGCGAGCGACAAAAAGCACGTGCTGTAGACAGAAGGAATCACCCTGACCCATTCATCAATCTCAACAACACCTGCATACATTGTAACAAGACATGTGGATCCAGGATTGGCCTCGTCAGTTATCCGAGGACCCACAGACATCTATAGCCTTCCCATCAGAGACAATCATCCTCGAACTCGATGGATTGCCGATGATGATCTTGACACACATTGACAGCGCCTCTATACAGCTTCAATGCGCGCGTTCATAGTACTTTTGGATTAATGTCTGGCGGCCATTGTGGGTGTAGAGAATCAAGCCCTAATTGTGTTTAGAAGAGCATTATGCATCCGTCAGCGTGGACTACTGAAGCCGTACTGGAAAAGTAGCTGTGTTATTCAGATAAGGCACAATGAAGAAGAATGGCTGCTTTTAGACTCTCTTTTTAGCGTATTGAATCGTATACAAATAACTTTTAGTTCGGGTAAATATTTGTGAAGCTGCAGTAACAGATATCTCATTACAGCGTGTCTATATTGAGAGTGGACGAGAGAGCGGAAGAGACACACAGAGAGGGGGAGAGAGAGAGAGAGAGAGACAAAGGAAGATACACACACGCAGAGAGAGAGAGAGAGAGAGAGAGAGAGAGAGAGAGAGAGAGATGGGGGATAGAAGAAAAAAATACGTATAAAGAATATAGCAGATAGAGCACGCGCACGCACCCTCGTTCGCACGCACCCACGCACAGACGCGCAAACACGTACGCACGTATATATGCATGCGTATGTGCTCGAATGCATGTATACCAAGGAAAATAGGGAAAATGGTGAAACGAGAGAAAAATAACAAGAACAATGGTTCAAAGGAGAAATGGGAAGGGACTTAAGAGAACGGATACGGTAAATTGGGAATTAAGATAAAGATGATGACATAAAATAAGCGTATACACAAGAAGGGGAAATGGCAATTAAGAAAGAGGAAACGTATAAGCAACAATGCGAAAAGTCCAAATATAAGAAGAATGAGATTTAATACGTGAAAGCCATCGGAGGAAAGAAAACATTTCATAGCCCGAAAGAAGAAATCATCTTCTAGCCTCCAGAACTTTACAGCGTTAAAATACAACGTGCGAAAATGAACTATTAAATCGGAGACGTGCAAAGACAATGATTCAACACTAAATACGATGAGTTTGGGTCAGCGCGGGGGAAAGGAACCGAAGGTAAAAATACCGACGTAAACATGGCGGTCAATTCTTTGACGGTAGATATTTCAGTCGGACGTGACGTCATCGTCGTCGGCCGACGCTCGTACGTTCAGCTGCAGACTGTTCGCAGCGACGACGACACACACGCCATCGTTGCACGCGCACGACGCCGACGTGCATTTGTCGTCGGCAGCCAGGAGTCGGTCGGCGCGTAGTTCGTCGCACGTGTGCTGCATCGTCGCCCCACTTTTGTCGTCGGCAGCCAACATTCCGTCGGCGTCGTCCCGCGTTTCGTCGCACGTGTACGGCGCCGACGTCGCACATCCGTCTGCGACCAATAATCCGTCGGCTACGCGAGTTTCGTCGCACGTGTACTGCACCGACGCGCGCCTGTCGGCAACCAACAATCGGTCGGCGCGCGATTCGTCTATCGCCGACGACAACCACAAGCTGCGATGTCCGTTCGCGTGTCTTTGTAGCTTCCCATTAAGCTTCCGTCGCACCGCACGACAACGACATGCTCGCGCGAAGCTCTGCCGAAACGACTGACTCTGGAAGGCGTAGAGGAAAGGGTTCGTCATGGACGACGCGTACGAGAGCGAGAACACAGCGCAGACGACGTAGATGAGATAGCTCCGCGGCGCCAGCGACACCCGGATCATGATCTGCAGCGTCCAGTATGGCAGCCAGCAGAACGCGTATACGGCAATCACGGTGAGCACCATCTTGGTGACGCGTCGCTCGGAGCGTTCGACGTCGGCCGACATGGCGACGGCGTAGCGACGCGTGCGCATGGCGACCATGACGCGGGCGTACAGCACGAGGCTGGCGACGACGGGAATCGCGAAGCTGACGACGCACGTGTAGCACAGGAAGATGGTATCCGACGCGTGTCCGGGCCACGTGACGACGCACGTGACGTCCTCCTGCCCATCGTCGCCCTGAACGCCGGCGTAGAGGATGACGGGAAGCGTCATCATGAAGGCCATCGTCCAGACGCACGAGCAGATGCCGACGGCGAGTTTTCGCGTGCGACTGCGCAGCGACCGCAGCGGTTGACAAAAGACCATGTACCGATCAAAACTCATGACGATCAGCGACACTGAACTCGTGAACTGACTGACGGTCGCTGTCGTCATGTAGACTTTACACATCGCGTCGCCGAACGGCCACGTGTGCATTTGCGCCGTGACGATGACGAAGGGGATTCCGAGTAGGAAGATCTCGTCTGCGATGGCGAGGTTGACGAGGTAGACGTTGGCGACGGTTTTCATCTTGGAGAATCGCAGCACGACGTAGATGACGAGGCTGTTGCCACAGAGACCGACGACGCTTATGACGGAGTAGACGATCGTAAGCACGCTACGCGATATTGCCATCGCCATCATCGCCGCCGCCATCTCCGCGTCGTCTGCGCTGGACAATGATGATGATGACGGTGTGCAGTTGGCGGCGAAAGGCGGGTCGCACGACGGTGGCGCCACCGAGCTGCCGTCGGCCATTTTGTTGAAGGCTTGTTGTTCGAAATCGAGGCTGTTGATCTGTGTAGGATGGCGAGCGATTACGATGACACATTACACGCCATATGTACGCACACACACGCGCGCGCGTACACACACACACTCACACACACACACACACACACACACACACACACACACACACACACACACACACACACACACACACACACACACACACACACACACACACACACCAAACATATATTTACTAACTTTAAGAGCTACTGATGTACTATCATTTTCTGACCAATATTAGTTTGTTTCGATATCTTGGTTGATATATCGATAAATAAGCCCGATACTTATATATAGGTCTATAAACCGCGAGTTCGTCGGTTTAAACAACACCGGCGGTCGGTTTGTTATGATTTTTTTGATTCATATTATCAGAATCAAATCAAAAATATTTCACCCTAACTTATAGAGCTATTGATGTAGTATCTGTATTTGATCTAAACCCAATATATAGTTTTGTTCGGTATCTGATTGAGTATAATAATTAAATAGGCAGATACTATCTAACGTACTATATACGCGATCGCCGAAGTTTACAACCACCGGCGACTCGGTTTGTTGATTAATCTACTATTACAAAAACAGGTACATTGTTGCTAAATTCAATGTTTAGAGAGCTCTTGAAGTTGGCTTAATGCTTTCCCGATTTGGTGTCTTGGCGCGAGGTTTGAATGGCGTTATGTCCGCAAGATGTCTGAAAATTTCCGGTCAGACGGTGGATATTGCCTCGGAAATCTCGTCAGGGGTCTTCGCGTGTCCATGTTCCCGGAGGAGATTGGAGCACACCCCAAAATCGCAGCGTGTGGTGTATTTATCCACCGTCTGGGACCCATCCTCTTTTTTGTGGCTTTAATTCGGCGAATGTGCTTACGCCACAGTAAAAGAAATAACATTAGTATTTTTCTTTTGCGAGCGGGAGAAACTGTCGCTATCCGCCATTTTAAATTTTCTACAGTTCACGTGATTTCTTGAGTAATTTTACGTCAATCTGTTTGCGTGGCACGTGATACTCGGTGAACGTAAAATTCTCACGGTCATTTTACTTGCATGTAAATAATTCTACGCTGTGCGGCCTTTCATATAATATTAGGTAGTAAAATAATCAATGATGAGTGGTTTCCCACCACTTTCATTAGATTAGCATCGTAAGCTGGATGAACACAGTAATTGGACAATCATTTGGATGCGCAAGTTAATTTGGCATCCCACAGCATTATAAAATTTGTGATTTACTCGGCTATATATTATCAATTAGTAGTATATTTATATGTATGTCCTATATAGTATTTCAGTACTTTAAGAATTATTAGTGATTAGGTAATATAGTATTAAGGACGTATACATGTAAGTATAGTAGATCAGTGGCCTAGAATAGCCACCATAATATGTCTCCCGCTAGCTGCGGTGCGCGTCCGTGACATTTTTAACGCGATTATGAGAATTTGGAACAATGCCCGACTGCGCTAATCAGTTAATCATTTAACTAGATAAAATGCTCGACTGAACTCGAGCTACGATGTACAAGTTGGTTATAATCAAGAGCTAATAAATACCGGTATTTATTAGCTCTTGTTATAATATTATTTTGGCTCTTAAAAGTCAACATATAAAATCGACATCAACACTTAATCAGCTAAAAACACGCGTTAGGTTGATTAAACATTGCAGACACTTTGCCGAAGAATCGCGAGCTTGCTGTATAGATATAAATGCTTGCTAGGCATATATATATATATATATATATATATATAATACTATCATATATATATATTATATTTATATATATAACTATAGTTGCTGTTTTTCTTATGAATAGTACAGTATTTCATTTTGAATGAATCTATCGGGGATTGGATAACAGCACAATTGTTGCGGGTGATTACATAGATCCATTACGTCATTATTTAACCCTACTGTCATGATCCTCCTGATAAATGTTTAGCTCACGAATGCAACTAGCTAGGCAGTCTAATAATCAATTCTAAATCTGATGATCGTTTATACCTTGTGGATTACGTAAGATGCACAAATAATATTAAATGCAGAAGTCCTGTAGAATCTTTCAATTAGTGAGAACGTCACCGCACAGAGTGTGGAATTAAGTGGTATATCTTGTTCGACAGGGCGGTCTCAAACCGACAATGTCAGGTCGCCTCGCCGAGCAGCTAACCAAGTTAACGCAGCTGCACATGCGTCAGTGGAAGCACGTTTGGGTATGACCGGATATCGCGTGCGAAGTCGCAGCGACGTTAGCTGCCTTCTATTCGGCATGTGTGTTTACGCGCACTCTTTCGTTATGTCGTTGAAAAAATAAAATCGACGGGATGCACTCGTACACGTTTTTGCGCGCCGAATTTTATTTCCTACTTTCTCCTAAAGTTTAGCTCGCGTGGGACGTGGGTGTGATCGTCACACCTACGCGTCCTTATAAGATTGACAGAAGACCTCTTATTCGGCCCGGATTGATTTTCGTTTTGGATTGCCAAGTGTATTCGCAAACAGCCTTCTGTTGCGATTAAAACACAGATGTTCGTGGACCGCCTGAATGGCGCGGTTTACGGCCGTCTGTATGTATATAACTGCAGTGTATATTTAGTCTCGTAGTTCACGCTAACTGAAAGAACGTCATTCGAGAAGCGCCCAATCCCTGTTAATGTGAGACGATAATAGTCTATAAAGGTGGCTGTTTTACTGAACGCTCCGGGCGGAGGAGATTCCATGACTGATTTATAGTGGATCTGTTAGGAGGCTGTAAGACACCGCGGAGCGATTATGCACGATTATATCGCGTGCGAACTCCACGATAGGAGTTGAGCGAAGGCGCGCGTAGCACACACATTCTACGCGGCACGCGACAAACGTCGCAAGTCCGCTTCGTGGAAAGACGAAACGCAGCGCACGACACATACACGCGATAACGAAACGAACGCACGAGGACAGCATACGAAGCCAATGAGACGAGGAAGAGAGCACGCACCTAGCACGCACACATGATAATATGACACTGTGCCTTCATGATTGCGCGCCCCCGCCCCCGACACCATACACGACACACACACAAACAAACTATGCACACAGAAGATGAGAGAGTGGGGCTATGTTGCGAGGCGTTTGCGCGCGCGCACGTGTGTGGCTTTATTTTTTTATGTCGGTCTTAAACATGAAATTCTATTGTATGACACAGTCGATATCATTGAATGTATTTAACCAAGCTTTTAATGGGTAAGAGAAACAAATACAAGGGATGCTACCACCGACAATGCTCGCATGCAAAAATTATAACTTATGGTCGAAGACAAAAGACAATTAAGGAATGGATTATTCGGGCAGGAGCGATGGCATTCGGTGCAATACTTGTGTGGTTATATACGAAGTGTGGTCTACACTATTGCGTGGGATCTGTTGCGCTTGATGCAACAATAGAGAAAGCTATAATTCAACCTTTGAGACAAGGAGGCAAGATGAATGGAGGTCGCGAGCGACAGAAAGCCGTGCTGCAGACAGAAGTGAATCACCTTTGACATTCATTCAATCTCAACAACCCTGCCATAATTGTAACAAGACAATGTGGATCAGGATTGGTCCTCGTCAGTTATCGAGGCCACAGACATCTATAGGCTTCGGCATCAGAGACAGTGCATCTCGGGGGAGATACGATGGATTGGCCCGATGATGATTCTTGACCACCAATTGACAGTCGGACTCTATACAGCTTCATGCGCCGTTGCGATAGTGTACTGTTTGGATTATGGTCTTGCGCGCCATTGTGGGTGTAGAGAATCAAGCCCTAATTGTGTTTAAGAGGCATTTATGCATCCGTCGGGCGGGATACGTGAAGCTAGCTATGGAAAAGTAGTGTTGTTATTCAGATAAGGCAAATTGAAGAAGAATTTGGTATCTTTTAGATTCTCTTTTTCGTAGCGTTAGTTGAATGTAGTACAAGTGAATTTGTAGTTCGGTATATATTTGTGAGCGAGTGCTAGTAACAGATGTCTCTTACAGCGTGTTTATATGAGAGTGGTACGGATGAGAGCGGAAGAGACCCAGAGAGCGGGGAGAGAGAGAGAAAGGAAGACTTACAATGACGCAGGAGAGGAGAGAGAGACGGAGAGAGAGAGTTGAGAGAGGAAGAGAGAGAGAGAGGCTGGCGAGTTGCAAGAGAAAGTGAGGAGAGAGAGATGGGGGATAGAAGAAAAGTAGTATAAATGATTAGCGGATGAGCACTCGCATCGCACCTCGTTCGCACGCACGGCACGCACGAGACGCGCAACACGTCGCACGCTATATATGAATTGGTATGTTGCTCGAATGATGTATCAAGAAATAGGGAAAATTGGGTGAAATGAAGAAATAACAGAACAATGGTTCAAAGGAGAGAATGGACGGTGACTTAAGAAACGATACGGGTTGGCGAATTAAGTAAGATTGAATGAATAATAGTGTAACACAAGAAGGGCGAAATCGGAATTACGAAGAGAAGTTATATAGCACATGCGAAAAGTCAATATAAGAAGAGATGAGGATTTAATACGTGAAAGCATCGGAAGGAAGAAAAATTTCATGCCGAAAAAGAAATGATCTTTAGCCTTCCTAGAACTTAAAATACAGCGTTAAATGCAACGTGCGACGCGAAATTACTATTATCGGGGGGGACGTGCAAATGTACAATGATTCACATAAATCCGATGAGTTTGGTGTCAGCGCGGGAAAGGAACGAAGGTAAAAATGACCGAGCCGTAAACATGGCGGTCAATTGTTCTGACGGTGATATTTTCAGTCTGGAGGACACGTGACGTTCTATCGGTTCGTCGGCCGGACGCTTGTGACGGTTCAGCTGCAGAGTGTTCGCAGTCGGACGACAACAGGCACCGGCCACTCCGTTGCCCGCGCACGGACGCCGAGTGCGAATTCGTGGTCGTCGGACAGCCAGGGGTCGAGTCGGGCGCGTATTCGTCGAACGTTGTGCCTGCGGCATCGTCACATCGCCGCGACACGTTGTGTCG